ATAGCAAATTCAAACTCAGTGCCTCAAAATACATTTTTTTTAAATGTTTTCTTTTTTGCACTAAAAATTATTTAAAATTTCTAAACTATAGTGTAATTATGTGCATAAAACCGCGGCCATAGATGCATATTTCATAATACAGTGCACTTTGTTGGACAGGAATAAAGAAATATGATTTTTAATTAATATCGCCAATGTGTAATAAATAACATCCAAGAAAATTGTATCGTATAAATAATTTACTAATGCTTAAGTAATACTAATACTATAGTTTTGTGGGAAAATTCTTTTTACTCCTGATATTCCGCAATTATTGTACAATTTCACGCTTACATCTCTTAACTCAGTATCTACTTTTTCTCCTGCGATCTTTCACATTCATTCTTCATAAAAACTTCCTCTTTGTGTTTCCCTTCTTTCTCTATATTTTTTTATAAAGCTTTCTCAGACCCTTGCTTTTCCGTCTAGCGCAACATTCTTTCTTCATGACTGATGGCCAACGATGATGAAGCGACTAGGAAATTTGTACGACGTCGTTTTCTTAGCATGACGCAGCTGATTCACAGCGAAGATCGAAAATGCTCCCTTTGGCACACGTGCGTTTCACTGAAGAAACACACTTATACGATTTTGTTTTCTATGTTAAAAGAGCTTTGCTCAGCAAAGCATATGAAAGCATAGAATTATTTAGTTCTTTAAGGGCAAGAAGTAGTGTAATTTCTTTAAAAGTTTAAAATATATGGTTATTTTTATTGTCGAATCTTCTCAGTGGAAATATAAAATATTTTTATTTAAATGCAAAGTATGTACATTAGCATCAAAAATGTTAACTAACAAAACGTGCACAATGGCGCGAGTGGAAGAGAGCATATTTCTTCTTCTGAGATACATACTAGCAAATGCGAGCAATCCGACTACGCGCATCCGAGACTTAATGGTCCTTTCCTCAGAGAATCGGTAGAGGAGCGTCCTGCGATTTCACGATTCATTCCACGTCCGCGAACGTCTTAGAACAGCGAAAGGCTTTTTACTCCTCGGTAGCTCTCGAATTTGCAATATTTCTCTGGATTACGCGGCCAAGACAGGCCAGGACGAGCGCGAGATGAAGATTGCTTACCTCTGAAGCGGATTTGATCTTCAATGAGAGATAAAGAAGGAAAGAAGAAACTGGTTAAGCGTAACAACCAGCAGCCGTCGCGAATAATTATTTCCAAGAAAATATTTGATATTCGAGCTTTTTGTTAAAGAATGTTCTCTTCATTTCATGAAGCTATATTAATGAAGAACACCTCTTTTTAATGACATAATTTTTGGGCAATTTATGTGTGCTATTATATGCATTATAAAAGTTTTTCTTAATTAACAAAAATTTCCAAAATGTAAACTAACATGGAATAAAAATACTATGTTAAACCTCATGTACGTAATTAATATAATAATAATATATTATTATAGTTATAATAATATAACTATAATAATCTTATACATTGTTAATAAACAGCATTATTATAAAAACGGAATTAATCCCCTCAAGCAATTGTCTTCTTAATGAATAACAATTATTTTACGCATCCTAAATACTTTCCTTAAAAATGTATGAAAATATAATGGCCAGAATTGAATTATAGGACTTCTCCAGGGAGAAAATTTAAAAATAAAATAATCGGAGCGTGAATATGACACCAAAGCGTTTAAAGTCCACCGATTTGGAACTTGAAAGCGAATCTCGAGTGTCGGCCATTATCGACGTGGAGGACATTGAACGTGTTTCCACGGGGCGATATAGTCTCATGCTTTAAGACGCACCCTGGTCGAATCAATGACGCGATCTACTTGGGCAACGAAGAGAGAAGCGACGAATCTCCTTGAGAACGAGGGAGTCAGCAAATTGGCGAATTGGGCCGACAGCATGCGGGCCGTAGTTTGAGTGGAAGCCACGTGTCTTTCCATGTATGTGTACAGGCGTAGGCGTGTGTGAGAGAGAGAAAGAGTGTCTGTTTGTATGTGATGGAAACCTCCTAATAGCTTCGGACGCTGCAAGGATGCAGTAGGTGTGACACATTAATCAGTAGCAGCGTTCACAGGAGGTTGGACTCCAGCCACCCGTGGAGCTGAATCCTAAGATATACAACGTGTCTCGCTTAGGTGTTGCGCACTTCCCGTGATTGCGGACGTTGCAGAACAAATAGAAAAGAATGCTTCTCGTTCCAGAGCACCAGATATTGATAGTTCTTAAGCTATGTGCGATTGAAGGCTTAAAGAATTATATGTTAGAGGTGGACATTGCGCACAATTTCGTGAGAGTAAAGTAGCAGTAACACATTTTTTTATTTTTTAATTATCTAATTTGAAATAACATTACGTATATTTTTAAAAAATTTTAACTTGAAATTTAATGCGCAATACATTAATATAGAAAATTTAAAAAATTTGCGAAATAGTGTTTTTTATTTCTAAAATAAGAAATTTTTTAAGTGTTACAAATAAATCTTAAATGGTGATATAATCCATAATATATTAATGTAGAAAATTTAGAAAAATGTATGGAAAAAAAAGAAGTTTTATACATTATTATTTCTAAGATAAGAGATTGAACTTCAAAAGAATTTATAATCGTGAAGAAATGCGCAATGTCTGCCACTTTGAATATAGCGCCAAATTTCTCATCTCACTGGAATTTCAAGAGGTTCACTTCGTCCTTCTTAGATCGGCACCATAATAAATTTTCGTTTAGATGTGTGCGGGATTCCGCGCGTGACATCCTTGGCATTAGCTTGGTAAACGCATCTTCGATCCAGGTAGTAGATTATCTATACAATTGCATACATATTTCTGCATACATAATTTCTGCTTTTTATCGAAAAAGAAAAGATTTCTTGAATTTTTATTATTTTATAATTTACTGAAATTGATTTACAAACAAAATATTTGGGACGCGTGTAAGTTTTAATACATGACAATAAAATAAAACGTAATAAAATAAAACTGCGTGTCCAGTGCAGGAGTCGGATATTTTCTTTAATTATGTTGTAAAAAATTATTTATAACAAATATTCTTCATAATTTTATATGATTTTAAGTTATATAGTTTTATTCTTCGGATTTCGACCTTTAAAATGAAAAAAAAATTATTCAATTAGGTATTAATATTAAACAAAAGTACATTAATTTTAAGTATACCGGATACACGAATACCAGTTAAAGAAATGGTGCTGTACATATGTAATACCGATGAAGATTAATATTTTATGTCGTAAAATAAAACATAAAAATGATAAAAGTAATTAATATAAAAATCTTATATAATAACTATTATATAATAACTATTTTATTAAATATTTAATATAATAAATGTTCTTATTAATTTCAACAAAGCTCACCTTGAAATTAATAATGTTTTAGTAATGGAAATGTCTTTCTTGTCACGTCCCGTCGTTCAAGATTACACGTTTAGAACAAAGATAGCAGCTTCGAAAACGCCTAATACGTGAGCATTATGGCACATTTTGCAGGGATGACTAACGCGGTCGTCGGGCATGATAAAAAGCGAACAGACGTGAGGATCGAGAATTTACGTCGCTGCGGCAACGTAGTTCGAACCGAAATAAATGGTTTGAAGCCAGTCAAAGGAAGTGGGTCCAATTTAAACCGTGACCTGTCTCTCTCTCTCTCTCTCTCTCTCTCTCTCTTTGCCCAGTCAGGATCTTCCATCGCCGAATAGGTTATGAATAGTCTCATGAGATTTACATTTCGTCCTGCTTTGAAGATCAATTATGATTGTACGTTATGGCAATTTGCCTCCGTTTGCCGGGATAAACTTGCAATAATCTAATGACTGATTTCTAGGACACTATCATAAAACAACAAAATATCGCAATTTACGAAAGAGCTTAAATAAAACACACACAAACGCGCGCGTGCGCGAGCGCGCACATCACTTTGGAACGCAGAAATGGAAATTTTATAAAATTTCCGTAAGCTGAGAATTATATAAGTTGAAAATAACTCGCAAACCAACATTTTCTTAGAAATTCTCGATATTATTTTCTGTAAAGGGATCTAATCTACTTAAAACTATATAAAAGAGCAATATACATAATAGTAGATATGTTATAACTTAACATTAAGTAACAAGCGTTTCTTGCTCACTTAAGGATCAAGTGACTAAATTATTACGAAAACAAAAAAAATAATAAAAACCAAATATTTCAATATAAAGAACATATTTATTAAAAAATCAAAATATTTTTTAGAATCCTATTTTTGATTTAAAAAAATGTAATATTGATATAAAAAGAAATAACTTTCTTTCTTTAATAAAAAGTAAAGTTATTTTTTCTTTTTTTCAAAGTTAATATCACTATATTTAAATAACAAGATTCTTTACATTATCGTTACATTTAAAAATTTTGTGTAATTATAATAATAGTAACTTAATTATAATGTATACACATTAAGCTGCGTTTAGACACATTATCCGAGTGCTTCCATACATTGTTTTATCCTTATTGCTCACTCAAAAAAAGGTAAAATGATACGCAGAGATATTCGGGTAACGTTTCCAAACAGCCTAGGCTAGCAACTCTAGAAATTAACGGGGATTAAAATCTCCATCGTAATGAAGCGGTATTTATTAAAAATTTAATTAACTTTCCTACATTAAGCGTCATAAACAATAACTTTGTAATTAGTTCTAATTATCGTTACCATGTAAAATAGACATAAAATGTATTAATTTGGTAATTAGAATAATTGCGAATTTCATGCGAATAATTAACATTTTTATACTAATTGCATTATTATGCGTAACAGTTTGTCATCAAATTACATTTGATCAATGGAGTATATTATTTAAATTGTGGAGGATAAAAAAAAGTAAAATCTCGTAAATAAATACGTAATACGTAACGACAATTAAAATATACTGCAAAGCAAAAACACACTTATTTAATACATTATTTATAATATATGATTGATCTCTGTCTCTTTATTTTTTTCAGTATTTGCGTTACCGTCGTTGTTCTCAACGTTCACTTCCGTTCACCACAAACGCACAAAATGGCACCTTGGGTGAAAAGAGTTTTCATACACATTCTTCCACGACTACTAGTCATGAGAAGGCCTCAATATAAATTTGAAACTAGCAGGTTGGTACTACATATGTAAAATTACAGCATATTAGAGGAGTCACCGGCATACCACTTTGTTTTTAGACAATATTTCTTAAGCAAAAGGTAAAAATAAAACTTTAAAAACATAAAAACCAACTAAAAAGTGTCTTCTATTAGATAATATAAGCAATTTTTATAATACCGTTTACAATTTTGCAATAATTAATGTTTTCATAAGATAAGCAAAAATGAACATCTGACAAAATGGGCTCCAAAACTGATATAATAGGCACTAATGTTACGTATTCCTATTCTTTTTCTTTTACAGGAATTATTTGTATAAAGTATTGTATCTACAAATGAATGTATATAAGATTTTCCAGATCTTTTTTACTTCATTATAAAAGATTTTTATTGAATTATATACATATTCCCATACAGCACAGAAGATTGAAGTAATATTGCTGCAATGTTGCAATATTGCAGATAGCAATGTAACATTGCAGAGATGTAAATAATCAATATGCCTGCAAAATGTCATTAATATGCTTGTAATATTCCAGAAACGTTGCAAAACTGTAATTCTTTAATTGTTACAATAATAATAATATAAAAATATAATCGGATTATTTTAGAGTCTTCGTAAGAAATTTATCCAAATACATTACATTTCAATATTGTTGGACGTATCGTTGCAATATAAAAAGCGAACATCTTAATACTGTTGGAATCTTGCAGCAATGATTCAGCAATGTTTCGCAACCATTATGCAATATTGCAATGTTTCTGCAATCTTTCTTCTTTTGTGATGTATGATTTACTTTATGCTGTTCTGCAAGATAAAAATATGTAACGCGATAGTTTTTCAAGAATTTTTTTACATATACATGATTGCCTTCAACTCCAATAGAGTTATTTAACCCTACAAAGCAACATTATAAAGATTAAGTTAGTTCATGGATTAAGTTAGTTCTGTTTTACAGAGAAGTGTGGCAGTTTACGCCGCGCCCTAACTTTAAATTTAAAATCGTATTATGAAAAAACTAAGAAAAAAAATAGAAATAAAACTGATTTAGGAAACTACAACAACAATATTTAAAACGACGTAATATTATCAATAATATAATCACTATTATTTAACCTATGTAATTTGCAAAAGAAAATCATAAGAATTTTATTTTCGCATTTGTAGAATTTATTTTTATATAATTTTGATATAAAAACAAGCCATAATATATGAATTATGAGTTTGTACTTATTTATTTAGCTAAACAAATTATGATTATATTAATGTTAATAAAGTGCAATAATTAGTTTCTAAAAAATAAGGAGGTGTTATTTTAGAAGACCTATGTCAGTATCGGCGACTTTTCTCTACTCAAAAACATGTGAATTTATTATTTATTCTTATTTTCTTAACTATCAGCGTGATAAAATACAAAGTTTCCTTAATTTTTATTTTAATCGAGGGAAATTTGAATTTCAAATTTTTTATCAATATGTTTAGTATTAAAAATTAGAAAAAATGTAGAAAGTATGAAATGTTCATGAAATCTTAGTAAATCGTTATTTTTGCGTATTATTTCCGAGGCGCTAGTGATAACAATCTCAATCAGGGATTTCATTACGCGAGATTGCGCCGTAACAATAATGTTATACATACTTAGCACGATTATATCTTATATTCTCTGAGATCGCACCGCCAGCTAGTCCGTCGTTTTCCAGAACATGGCACCCGCATTAAAATTCCGGGCCCAATTGTCTATGTTTGCAGGTACACTTCCGGCAGAGTGCTAATGAGAACCGTCAGAGGAAAGGAGAAAACTTGCTATTATCCTTACTCGTCGACTCAGGAAGACAGTGAAGAACATCTCACACCCAAAAGATTCCATAGCCGTCCTCCATCAAAGGAAGATCTCTCGCCTTCCAGGTATTTACGACAATACAGAATACTTCTACTAATTAGCTTTGATCCTTATATTATCGTTGAGATTTATTACATTTATTACTTAATAACCCATTAATTTGTTGAAAATACTTGTTTGTGTGTGCGTGCGTGCGTGCGTGCGTGCGTGCGTGCGTGCGTGCGTGCGTGTGCGTGTGTGTGTGTGTGTGTGTGTGTGTGTGTGTGTGTGTGTGTGTGTGTGTGTGTGTGTGTGTGTTTACAAATGTACATTGAAAATATTTTCTTGTCCAAAAAACTTACATAGATAAAATTATAATTACAACAAATAAAAAAAAGGGCTACGAGCCAAACAATAACATTTAATGTTCAAATAACAAACATCTATTTTGACAACAATTATGTCATTTTCAATATATAAATAAAAATAAACTTAATTTTAAACAAGTGACCATTTAACGGCATGTAACTATAAAAGAAATAGTAATTAACATGATTTGTTAATTTCTCTTAGATGATGCCTCTTATAAATATCTGTCGTCACAGTTGGTATGTAATTAAGTTTTATAGTCATTTGGTGAAATTGCAGATAATAATCAAGAAATCTGTTAATGGAACACAATATAACTTAATAAAATTCAATATACAGTCATAAAAAAGTCGCAATTAAAACAGTTACTGATATATAATAGTAAAGTATGTCCTTTTAAAATGGTCCGAATCGAATTACAAAAAATACACAATTTAAAATAATATAATTGAGAAAATATAAAATCACAAGAAGAACTAAACTATGCATATAGTTATAAGAAAGTCGCAATTAAATTATAACTAATACTAATATACAAAGAATAATAACAATATATATATATATATATATATATATATATATATATATAT